AAAAAAAAAAAAAAAATTGGGATCTTTAGAATGACACTGTTGGCAATACTGAACAAACCTCTTTCTCAATCTTTCTTCTAGATAATGACCACCTGCCCCAGATATTGAGATTAATTCTTATAGTTTAAAATATATGTTAAATTACAAGCCTCTTCCGCCCCCAGAGAAATACTCACAGAATTAATTATTCCTTTAAGAGCTTGAAATCCACCTTTGACAGGAAAGACTTGTTCTTTGGAGTCTGCAATTCTTTCGAGCTTTAGAAAAAAGAAGAAAAGTTCAGGGTGGTTGATACATAGAACACTTTATAAACTTCATTACATTTCAGTTATGTTCATCTGAAAAATTACAGGATTAGTTTAGCAGTGTGGGCTGTGTTCAGGGTCAGGAATTACAGGTGATGATACTAGAGTTTCTCGAAATGTATCACCATGAAATGAACTGAAATCAGTCAAAGCACCTTTACAGTGGCAATTCCAAAACAATGCAGAGCTCGAATAGCTGTTAACATCATGAGACTGGAATCTAAGTCATGCTCAAGCAAAAACTCCCATGTAAAATGATTTGGAAGTGAAAAAAAAAAATCAATGTATAAATCCTCAAAACTTCATGAAAAAATTGGTTTTTGTAAGAGATATACTAAAGACCTCTCCTAAATGGACTTCCCAAATTCCTACACACCTAGAGTCAAATTTTAAACAAAATAGAAAGTTTAAATGAGACTGTCATAATAATCTTGTCAGCCGAGTTAAAGAGGAGTATTCCTATCACGTCAACCCAACTGTTTATCTTATATTACTTTCCCAAGCCAATTAAATGTTGAAGAAATTTAGAGTTTTATTTTCAGTAACAAAACCTACTAAAATTCTGACATCACTGAGGTAGAGCTTAAGACATACACCCATGTTCCTAGAAGACATTTATATTTTTATAGAAAATCATTCAACAATTGATTAGCGTCATCGTAAGTCCTCAGCGAAAAGAATTTATTCGACTATCCTTAAGACGGTTACGTGATTTCCATTAAAGCGTGTAGATCTTTTGTAACTCACCTGAGCTTGTTCAAAATCAAGGACACCAACGCAATAAACACTAGCTCCAAGGGACCTGGATATCTTTGCCTGTGCAGAGAGAGAGAGAGAGAGAAATGGGGAAGGGAAGGAGGAGGTGAGAGAGAGAAAAAGAGAGGGAGGAAGTGAATTATTCAAATACCAAAAGCTATACGTGCAGAGACACACAGCCAAGTACAGTGGGGTGTAAGGAACAGTCTCAGTTCAATACTCACCTCTTTCTCTGCATATGATGGCACCAGGCCATCCAGCTTACCATCTGTCAGTGCAATTATGATACTGGAGGTTTTTAAGCCTCCTGCTTTCTGAATTTGTTCATTTGCCTGAAAATGAAGAATATTCATCCAACTCACAATTTAACTTTTCACCAGTATGTTCCATTCAAGCTGAATTTGTAAGTCTGACAAAATCAAAAGATAACTTTTACAACAGGTTATTTTGTTTCGTATTTATTTGAAACATGCATATAGTCACATTATAGAGTAGTAACTATTGGTTTTTAAATGATATAGATTTTTAGCTGTGGTTGCCTAATCTGAATATAACCACGGAGAAAAATGGAAAATTAGGTAGAAGGCAAAAATGCCGTCTTAACTTTTCTTATCACCACAGTAAATAATGTTTTCTACCAGGCTCCTCTCTAGAACATCTAAAAGCATAAAAAAAAATTTAATATATAATGGAGTTTCAGAGCTTTGCTAGAGAGTTATATTTCATTACAGAATAATAAAGTATTCTCTCCCATACTTAAAAATGTAAAAGAACTTACTAGCTTTAGTCCTTCGTGGATATATGTCTCTCCCACTGGGCTAACACTTTTCAAATCCTCCAAGCCTTTACTGATTTTGCCTCTGAAAATAAAGTATTAATATTATAATATTAAACAAAAGAAAAATGGGCAAAAATCACAATAAACGCTTCTTGAAAAACATGGCAATACTACAAGTAAGTTTCCTTCAGTAAGAAGTAGAGGAAAGGACCTGGGCTTTGAGGGCAGGTAACTCCTTATACTTTTCGCCATCGTAACAAGTATTTAATAATATCTGTATTTTAACTACAAAAAAATAAAAGTACTAGCAATGCCTTGAAAAATCTAAGCATAGTCTAGGTCTTTTGAGCTGAGAACAGATATCTTCGATTATACTTGTTTTACTAAATGCTAAAGAGTAAAACATACTTTCCCTTATCCACAAAAATACAAAGATTGAGTAGCTCAGCTTCAACGAAAAAGTATTTTTTTCTGAAACACACACCTCACCTTCCTAAGAGTGGGAAATTTTCTTTGTTATCTGCAAATTCTGAAAGCACATTACTTAACCCTTACTTATGGAAAATAACATTTTCTATTTCTGTCTTCCAGAGTCATAAGTCTTATGAATTATTCACTTTTTGTGACACCTCACCCCTCGAAACACCTGCGCATGCTCACGAATGCAGTAGACACTCAATACATATTTCAAGAACAAATGAAAGAATAAATGGAGGGATGGATGGATGGAGGAGAGAGTAATGGATTCTTAGAAGAGGCAAAATGATGGAAAAAGATGAAAAACCATAGAATAATTCTTTTCATCATGATAATTCATAGTCCCAATAGATTATGTCTACATGAAGTATAACTACGATATTATTAAGAGCTATTTTGTGTGTATGAGTACCGGAAGACTCAATGTTCAGGTTTTTATAAATACAGATTCCAAACCTCTTTAAAAATAAATAAAATCACAAGGAATCTTAAAAGGTAAATAATATTGGAAAACTATCCAAATTAAATCTGAAACTTTTTAAAGTTTTAAATTTAAAAGATCAGAAGAGATTTTAAGATACTGCTTTCAGAATTTTAGTTTTTCAAAAGAAAAATGCC